CCCCAAAACCCCAAAACCCCATATGCTAAATATATTAATCATTGCAATAATTTATTAAATCAAATATCAATATTAATATTATTATCTATTCATTTACTTTAATCAATCATATATGAGGCACAGCAAGTTAATCTTTATTGCAAATATGCTTATTGACCTTTTAAGTGGTTTAAATTTATCGGTACATGCTATCAATCTCCTAATTTACCTTTTTTATCTTTCCAGCTTTTATTTTATCTTCGTTTGACTATTGATTCAAGTCCACGCACTGAATGATAATGTTATTCACCATATCATATCTATTGGGCAGCTCATACTCAGTCTGATTCTTAGAGTGATGAGACTTCATCACAGTGGGAGCGAATGACTAAATAGACTATATTGAGCCCTTCCTGTTAAAAAGTGACAGCTAAGTCTACTTTTATGCTGCTTTAATTAGGTACTCTGAAGTGGCTCTATTGCTCTTACAATCATTGAGTTCATCTTTAATGTCATTATTTGGAAAGAAATGCCTTGAAGTAAAGTTCTAGGATGTCTTCCCAAAGGGATTACCAGGAGTGATAGTATTCATCTGGAAATTCTAAGAATTCCTCTTTTTAATTTGCACCTGCTCTCCTAGTGGCTCCAGAAAGTTGACTCTGCTAGTCATTCCTAATTACGAATGTTTTTGAGCTTCAGTGATAAGTGGTGTCCTACTAGATGCGAAGTCTTGCTGTGTTATCATAAAATTGTGATTAGTTGAATTTATCTTTAACTTTAGATCTAGCTGACTATTTGATTTAGTGTATCTGGTGTTCTAAGACTTAGTATTCTGATCCTCCAAAGCACTCATTATATCTGCATTTTCATCCCTGTGATGGTTGCTTGAGAATGTCTCTCTTTACCCTACTGAAGCCTATCTAGAATAAGTATGATGTGAAGGTAGCATCTCGACCACATTAGTATCTTAAAAGAAAGGACTCTTAGTGCTTTACTTTCTCTTGGTGACCAAGTTAACAATATCTTATGCCATTTTATGTCTCTTCTTGCTAAGCAATGTCTTTAGAGACTCAAATTTCTGATTATAGTACTTTATAGCATAGTTGTTAGTAATTGATCTAGAGTCTTTATCTCTAACCTAGCCAAAAAACCCAGATCTGTAGTCGCTGTTTTTGATAGTCTTTTCAAAGTCTACTTTTCCGAAATTCTATCTCTTTTTACTCTGTGCTCTCTCTTATTTAGAATGCTCTAAATAGCTATTCATATCAAAGTTCTCCTTTGGATTCATGTCTATTCCATATTGCGCATACTCTCTTTAAGAATTAGAACCACCATGCTTAGATTTACTTGGTGAATCTCTATAATTAACCAGCTCCACCATTGAGGCCAGGAGTTCAGTATCAGGTATATCATTTTATTTCAATTTATCATCATTGTAATCCACTAGCATGTTAGTTATCCGCAATTAATCCTTACTCATCATCATTTTCTATAAGAATATTATTAAATGTTTTAAACGTACTCTGAAATTTTGCATTCGTCGCTGTATTACTTCAGATCTCTTCTTCCCAGCATCTTCAAAGCCTTAGGGTTTGAAAGACTTCGCTTTTTGATTGTTCCTCATTTGCTTAATTTCTTCATCTTACATTCTTAATTTTAGTTATGTTCTAAATTTATTATAATTCAATTTGATTCGCATTAATCCTTATTTTAATTATATAAGTAATATAGTTGTAACTTGGCTTGAGGGGTTTTGGGGTTTTGGGGTTTTGGGG